CAAATATGTTTGGATTAAACATTGTGGATCAGAGACTAATAGAGGATTTGTCAAATTAACAGTTGAAATGGATAACTACATTTTTTTAGCAGTTAAGTTAACCTATGGGAGATTTGGGAAGTGAAAATCAGGATGAAGCCAATTTTCCTATGAACTTGTTCAGTGAGAACAATAAATAATACAAGATAATTCACAATGAAATGCACTGAGTTGCTGCAGATATAAATGCTTTTGCTTTTGCCCATGTTTTACACAGACTGCCTATTGGAAGCTTTAAATCGTGCGATATATAAACGTGGATAACTTTTTTGTGTGTTTATGTATGAACCAGGCTAAAAAGGGAAAGCAAAACGGGTCATCTGAAATGAAGTCATGCTGCTTTTGAGAGCAGAGCAGAATAAGAAGCTTTTATTTGTAGAAGTCCTCCTTCCCCGGAGGGCTGAGCTGCCCCTCTTCTTCTATATTCTTACTAATTTATTTAGTTTATTTAGTTTTCTCATACTATCATTATCACTTATTTTAGGTGTAAAAATATACATATTTTTTTTTTAGAACTTAGACTTTTATCATTTTTGCAGAGCAATGATACAACCATGCATTAAAGGTACATGACGCAAATGTTGACAATATGAAGTTTTCCATAAATAAACAACTTAGTCACAATTGTAGGTTCATCGTCATACAACCCCAAAATAAGGATACACTTTGGGAGGGATAGCTAGACATCATATGCCAAGAGACAAACTTGTTGGGTTTAAAAATATACATATTAAGATGTATAATATACATTATATGTATATACACATATAGTTACATATCTATAAATGTATTTATATTTTGTGTGGAATATTGTATATATATGCTGTTGTATATATGGAGTTGGTAACAAAAATAATTTCCCTCTGGGATTATTAAAGTATTTCTAAATGTGAATCTCTTGTCTTGTGGACGTTTGACCAGCAGAGGGCGCCAAAGTCCTGTATTGATAAATGATCCATCTACTGGAACACTTCCTCTATATCAGCAGCCTTTTCTCAGCTCTTTTATCAAAGTGGAATAATTAAAAGACTCCTGGTTAGGGCAAAGATGTTTTATTGTTTACAATCACAACATTTAGTTAGCTTATGTACAGTTTAAATATTAATGCTAAAACAAACCCAACAACCTTTCTCTAAAACATACAAACTAATGGTCACAAGCGCATACAAAATTCCTAAATGTAATTAATTGAATCACTTTCCATCAATATGACAAGCATTTTTTGTAGAGATAAATTATTGAAAATTAATTTTCATAAAAAATGCCATTGCATCTGATTGAAATTTTATTATAAAAATAAGTAAAAAGGTATAATTTAAACAAAAAAGTCCTTTCTTTGGTAAGGATGGTGCTATTTCTGTCAAATAAATAGAGTAAAAGATGGCTTTTTAATAATGCTTTTAGCTTAACCAATTCAAGGTGATTTGGGGAAAAAGAAAAAAACTACATAGCAGTTTCTGTTCAGATTTTTACAGGATTGGGATGCCAGTAGTTTCTGTATGTGCAAACTAACCTCACGGCCTTCCAGTCGGCAGCTTTTCCATCTTCATGCTCTGTATTGATTTCATGTCAATCCAAATTTTCTGTGTGAAAGTGATGTTAAATGACCCGTTTCTCCAGGAAGGGCAAATGGCTTCCTCTTAAGGGACCATATGCTTCCAGTGTGCCATCAACTTGGGGTTTCATCTTATATAGACCATTTTATTTATTCGTTTATTTGATAGGGACAAGTATGTTTCATGAAACATGTCACACATTACAACATTTTAGCTAAGGCCAATTCTCAATGCCTGTCCCCAGTTAGGCTTTTACACAAAACAGTGACTGTACACAACAGAACAAATCACACACTAAAACATCACAGATAAAAAAATCAAGACAGTCAGATTATTAATGTCCACATGTCTGACCTCTCAATAAAAAGTCTTTAAGTTTATGTTTAAAAAGGACCCAGTTTGACTCTCCCTTCAGGTAATGTATTCCAGGTTTTTGTGCCTTGTACAGTGAAAGCTGATTGTCCTAATGAGGTTTTGCGTCTGGGCACTCAACAGTTTCCACTGTAAGCTCGTCTTACTTAGCTTAAATGTAAAGATTTTCCCAGACAAAAAAAAAAAAAAAAAAATCCAAATTTGCATTTAAATAAATTTAAGGTCATATTTAATTAGAAAGAGATCATCAAGTGACAGATTTGCTTCATTACCAACCTGGAAAGCTTCAACTGCAGTGGTCAATGAACAGATATTAAACCTATACAAGATTTTGTCTAAACTACCAGTTGTCTAAACTCACATTTACCGATTTACCGAGCTAAAAAAACAAAAACAAAACACTGATGAAGTTGCCATTGTCATTGCATCAACTCGTCTAACATCCGATAAGAACCCAGTTCGTAGTGTAATCCAATCATTGCAACGTGGACAAATGTTTACAGCTGGCCACCAGCATTGTCACCACTTCAGTTAAGCAGCTGGTTTCACTGAGAACGAACACTTAAAACACTTTAGAGTCCCTGGAGGATGAATTACGGGTGGCTGGGCACAGCTCCTTATGAGCTCAAGAGGTCGGCTCCACACATGATGCAAACGGACCAAAGCAGTGGTGCGTCACAAATGAAAAAGTTGGCATGAATTATTGATACCGACATCTGATGTTCGGACTTCAATTCGTTGAGTCTACAAAATCGAGCCTTTAAATTTAGTTTAGTTTAGTTTTATTAGGATCCCCATTAGCTGCCAAATAAATGGCCACTAGTCTTCCTGGGGTCTTCATATAAAGAAATTATATTACATTATAAACAGATCATAAAAATAATAAAAATCACAGTAGGAAATAAGAAACAAATTTGAAATGTGACTGGTTGCCGTTATGTTGGAGGGAAAAATGACAGAAGCCCAACACAAGGATGCATTCACTTCTTTTATTCATAAGATGGGATTATTTCTTAACATCTTATGCACAGCAGATACAAAGACAAACATGTTCTAAACCACAAACTAAATTCTTCCATCAGTCCAATCCTGCCTCCCGTTTCAAAATGCCCCCTCCCCTTCCCCCCCCAAAAAAGCAACCCTTTTCGTTTGTAGTCCAGTTTCACATTCTGAAAGATTGTTATACAGCAATCTCATTTTAGCAGAATGGCACAAGCCACGCTCAATACTTTTGACGACAGATGCCCACTTCCCGTTTAAACAAATTGCACTTTTCTTTAAAACTACTTCAACAGGATTATAGGATCAAAAAATTAACACCAAAAACACAAGAGACGACTAAACATCCAACTTATAGAGGTTCATTATTTAGTTGCACGAAAGTGCATAAATATACATTACGCAACAAAAAAAGCACAAAAAATTTGTACTTTTTCTTGCTCAAATAATGACCGACACTGATATGATCATGAGGCCTGGGATTGTCTGAACGTAGGGATGCATTCACAAGGTCCATGCAAGATAAGCCATTTACACAACAGCCTAGCTTTCACAGAGGTAAGACCAAGGCTCTACAGGAAAACAAAAACATGTCGCGGTCTAGGCCAAGAGGCAACACAAACACCTAAGAAAATTAGGATACACAGAAACCTGCGGTCTAAATTCATGCCAAAAAGACTTCAACATGCAATGACTTAACTTCTAAATTCCCCCCCAGAGCAGCGGAGAGACTAGCTTAACGACAGTAACGTCAATATGTCAATTTTCCTCAGCAGTTATGATCCGTGGAATTTAATTAAGATTTGCATCGTTTTTTTTGTTTGTTTTTTTTTTAAGTGCTAATGGTACCGCGATTGTCGACAGCAAGATGGTTTCAACTCCAACTCCCCCCAGAGACAATCGGGAGGAGATATAAATACTGTTTGTTTATAATAAAGCACATTTGTCCATTAAATAAACCTGATTAAGTTAATGAAGAGCTTGGCAAACCTCACTTCAGTTGGATAAAGGTGTGGTTTCCAGAGACCTGAAGAAGGAAAAACAGAAAATTCATTTAGAAAAACTAGTAAATACTTCCTTTGAATAAGACAAAAACATATTTAAGGACAAAGTCAAATGCAACTCATTCATTCATCTGACTCAGACTGTATAAAAACTTTTAAAGACAAATTGATTTCCTAAAACTGCTGGACATTTAACTTTTAAACAAACATGGCTCAGACAGTAAATGGTACATTTTTTGGGACAGTTTTCAGCTGTGGATTAACACATTTGATGCATAAAAACATTTACAGCAGCTCTGTTTAACCAACCCTCTCCAAAAGCTTTCTGCATAAGTCCTAAAGAATCAGGTCTGGACTGTCCAGTTTACACAAAAAAAAGTGGCTGAAGAGCAAAAATGCAGCGTTATGTGGAGGGGAAGAATACTTAATGACTCACTTTTACTACAAAAAGAAATGTAAAAATGTACATTAGCCCATTCATTAGCCCAGTCTGCTGATTTTAGCTTATTTCTTTAGCAAAAAAAAAAGTAATAAGAGAGTAATACCACCAAAAATGTAAAACCACCAACTATTGAAAAAAGTAATATGTTCTGCTGCTGCTGTAAACTTTTGCACCAAATGGAATAAACCAGGAGAAAGGTTTAGATCAAATAGGATGAGTCTGATTTTTATTTTATTTTATTTTTTTCAAGTGTCCAGCTGTTTTGGAAAATCTAAAAATCACAACTGTATTTTCATTGTCCTTTTAAAATATTTATTTTAAGTGAACTATACTGAGGTCAAGTCACAGAATTGTTAAGGGAACAAATATGGGTTTTTCCTTTTATTCCAGCTAATATATATAATATAGCCAGCTCTGCCCTCTAATGCCCAATCAGTTCAGAAATTCCCCTCTGACATATTCCTGTTTAACGTTTTACCACCACTGCTGCTTTCAATCTGCATGACGTCAGGTTAGTAGAAGATTAACGAAGGGGTTTAGCATATCTAAAAAAAAACACTGTTTGACCAAAGATTACTCACTAAATATCTAACAAAACTGCCGTGACTTCCATCCAGGCTGGGAAGTCTCGGAGGGAGTAGGGTACCAGCGCATCTAAAGAAACACAAACATAGTCATGTTCACCAGACCGACACCAGGATTCAGAGCTTCAACCCGTCGCTCCACAGATTTTTATCCAATCACACTCTGACACATGCGTTTACGGGCAGGTTTTTAGGAGGACTGGCCCTTTAAATCCTGCTCAGTGAAGCCAGGGGAATCCGGGGCACATAGCTGCTCATTGACAATTAACGTGTAATTAATGGGCACGGAAACGTGGAGAGTTGTGTGTTAAACATTTCCACAAAGTGAGGGGGCTGGTTCTCTATCTCTCTTTCTTTCTTTATTTCCTTCTTTCTTTCTCTACCTGTGACTAACAGACAAGCCACAACAATTGTTTCTTTTTGCAATCAACTCAGTGCAATATTCATTGATGTTTCTTTTGTAATAACTCTGTGCAATAATAAGTATATATATGCTCTTACCCTGTATATACAGTGGGGGAAATAAGTATTTGACCCCTTGCTGATTTTGCAGGTTTGCCCACTTACAAAGAATGCTTATTTTTCCTCATCACATCATTATCAATTTTTATAAATTCATATTATGTGATTTTCTAGAATTTTCTTTGGGATTCTGTCTTTCACTGTTAGAATGTGCATATGATTAAAGTTATAGATCGTTGCATTCTTTGTAAGTGAAAAAACCTGCAAAATCAGCAAGGGGTCAAATACTTATCTCCCCCACTGTATCTAGCTCTTAGTTATAGAAAACATATTTATTAAGTAGGAATAAGGTCTTAGTTCTGTCACACTGGTAGCCAAGTGATCGACATTTCGTTGATTTCGAAGATTCATCTCGTGTTTTTTTGTACAATGACAATAAAGGAAGTCCAAGTCTAACAGCACAGTTGAACAGTTTCATGCATTCTTATCAGATGTGACAGCAAACATTACGGCCCCAAATATCTCCGGAGACAGAAGGCCCACAGTTTCAGAGCATTGGGGAATCTTTCATCAGAATGCAATTAAAATCCCTCCCCACCCCCCACTCCCCCCTCTCTCTGAATATCCAGCCAGTTTATGTTCCAACAGGAAGGTGGATGCTCAGTTGGCACCTCCAGAAAAGACAGTCGACTCTTGACAATTTCTCAGAGCAAATACCTGACATTCCTTAACCGCCTTTGCCAGGAGAAACAACCGATGTAAGAGCTGCACTCCCCAGAGCTCCAACAGGAGGAAGCTAGCAGACAATGAACTTTAAATGACCCAACTAGAGAAATATTTTCCATTGTTAGCTAAAGTCCTGCCCACTCCCTTTGCTTTTAGCTGCGCTATTGCTGGAGCGTTTAGGCCCCAGTTAGCTGATAACGTCATTTAAATGATTAATTATAAGCCCGTTTTTCATTTGCAAACCAGACAAATATACTGAAAAAGTAGTTTAGACACATACTAAGGTTAAGAGTATCACCACATCTACTGTGAATTTAAATTTTGAATAATCTTTTTGCTAAAGTTTTAATCAAACTTACTTATATAGTTCATGTTCTAAACCAAATCACTGCAGAATATGAGAATAAAGAACCCTTTCTACCATCTTAAACACCAAAACAGTGAAGATCAGAGCTCCAGTAGAAAATAAAAATACAAAAAGGGGTAAAGATGCACCTCTGTGTGCACAACAGCAGGACAAAAGTCAGACAGGAATTTAACTCCAATCGACATCCACAAACCCAAAATCTCCCTTATGAAGACAGGGCATGACTCAGAACGTTTTCCTTTTCTAAAGAACAGATCACAACATAACTTTTAGCTTCCACTCTGCTATCTGTTTTAAAAATGAAGACTGGGCACACACTGTGCAGCCAGAAACTCGGCCCTGACCCCAGAGTTTAAGAACACATCTTAAAGCTGTTGTTGTAATACCTCATAGGACCACTAGGACCATTTCAGAACCACCAGAACCTCTAAAGTCAAAACTACTGGTTCCTGAATGCCACTTGGTTAAGTTTAACTTATGATATAGTCCTCAACTATTATTAGCGAAGGACAAAAACTAGATTACTAATTATTTCACTAATGCCAAAGTTTACCAAATTGGTTGGGAATCTGAAGGCTGCCTGTAATGTCAGGGTACAGTGGGGGAAATAAGTATTTGACCCCTTGCTGATTTTGCAGGTTTGTCCACTTACAAAGAATGCTTATTTTTCCTCATCAGATGGTTATCAATTTTTATAAATTCATATGATGTGATTTTCTGGAATTTTCTTTGGGATTCTGTCTTTCACTGTGAGACTGATCAGTGTTTCATCTCTATGTAGCTTATCGTCATAGTGATGAGAAATGTAATATTGCGTCTACTCTGTAAGTCGCTTTGGATAAAAGCGTATGCCAAATGCATAAACAAACATTATATAGACCATTTTATTTAGTTTAAATGTAAAGATTTTCCCAGACCAAAAAAAATAAATACAAATTTTCATTTAAATGCTTTTAAGATAATATTTAATTAGAAAGAGATTCATTACCAACCTGCAAAGCTTTAACTGCAGTGGTCAATGAACAGATTTTGAACCTATACAAGATTTTGGATAAAAGCGTCTGCCAAATGCATAAACGTAAACATAAGTGGGCAAACCTGCAAAATCAGCAAGGGGTCAAATACCTATTTCCCCCACTGTATAACTTTAATCATATGTACATTCTAACAGTGAAAGACAGAATCCCAAAGAAAATTCCAGAAAATCACATATTTATAAAAATCGATAACCATCTGATGAGGAAAAATAAGCATTCTTTGCAAGTGGGCAAACCTGCAAAAATCAGCAAGGGGTCAAATACCCATTTCCCCCACTGTATTTCACCAATGCCAAAGTTGACCAGATTGGTTGTGTGTCTGAAGGCTGCCTGTATAATGTCAGGGTATGTAAGAGCCAGTTAATGGGGAGTTCATATAGAATAATAATTTAGATTAAAAATGTATAAATATGCTTAATTTACTTTTAAGAAATTCATGATGAGAATATTTACTAGAATGTATAACTTAGTTCATTTAAAAGGATGTTTTTATTGTGAAAAGTAATTCTGGCTTCCAATACGTAATGCGTAACATTAATATTGCCCGTATGCACGTTTGAGTTCAGATTGCATTTCGATACGGTGGAAGCAGCACAATTTTTTGACCGATCTGTACCGAGCCTTTAATTTTTTCTGCAAGTGTACTGGTCACTGGAATGAATTAAATGATGAATTTAAGTTATGTCCTTTCTTGGTGAACTTTAAAAGAGCTTTAAAATGTAATATGATAAAATCTTACGTTCTTAAGTAGATCTATATATGTACTATGTACTATGTAATCTGAATTTGTAGAAATCCTGGTTGTAAGGTAAAAAAAATAGGGTAGGCAAGAATAAGCTTTGCTTCGGCCTATTCCTTTTTTGGTAAACTGTGGGTTTGTCTATTGTTATTTTCTTTTTTTTTTCTTTTGTTGTTTCTTGTGTTTAATGTGGACAATTTACCAAATTTACCAAAATAAAGTGAAAAGTGAAGTGAAGTGTACTTTTTTGAGTTCTTCAAGTAAAAATCATAGAAGAAGACTTGGTTTCAGTCGAGTGATTCAAATATTGGTTGTTATCCTCCTGAGACCCGAGCTTTTATTTGGCATGCATTTTAGTTTTTTTTTTAAAGATATATGAGATACATATTTAATTAAATGTTTTTACAATTTTGTTCTGACAGTCCCATTGACTCATTTACAGTTTTTCTATTACACAATAAGAACATGATTGGATGGAAATGTATAAAACCATTTTACTTTAGATTTCAAACAGTGTCTGATAGCATCTGCTATGAGGCCAAGAGGTCAAAGCTGAAAGAAAAAAAGAAGTATCATGGTAAAGAGAGACAAAAATGCAACGTCCACTTATGACGACACAGGGTCTCAGGAGGTTAAGACAAACTGTGGTACAAACTGTGGTACGACGAACTTTTGAGACGCAGAGTGCCACTACAGGGTATGTTAATCAGAATCAGAATCAGGTTTATTGCCAAGTAGGTTTTCAGACTTACAAGGAATTTGCCTTGGTGTTTAGTGCACAACACAACACTTCTATGAGAAGCAAGAATAAAAAGTAAAAATAAAGATATAGGGCAGAATGATAAAACTGAAAAATACAATCTTTAAACAGGGTAAAAAGACAAAATAAAACAAAATAATGCGCACCAAACCACCGTGGCGGCCTTCTGCGGCGCCATCTTGGATAAGGTTAATAAAAACAAAGATGGACACACACCGGGGGGTCCCTCACCTGGGCGTGCAGCGCGGCGGCGGCGGCGGCGGCCGCCGGGTAGCTGAAGGCGGCGTGGGGGAGGCCGGGGGTCAGCTCCGTGGTGTAGAGGGGGTACGGGGTCCAGGCATCCGGGGAGGCCGGGATCAGAGCTGCCCCGGTCAGGTCATCTGCAGGAGAACAGGGTGGAGGGGGTAGGGGGGGTAAAGGGTGGGGGTAAAGGGTGGGGGGGGTAAAGGGTAAACGGAGGGATGACTGAGCCGTTTCAGAGTAAGAAATGGTTTGATAATCCCAGAGGGATGTTATTTTTGTTACTGGCTCCATAAATAAAACAAAAGCATATACATATATACATGTCTATACGCATACATATATACACATATATATATACACAGTGGGGGAAATAAGTATTTGACCCCTTGCTGATTTTGCAGGTTTGCCCACTTACAAAGAACGCAACGATCTATAACTTTAATCATATGTACATGCTAACAGTGAAAGACAGAATCCCAAAGAAAATTCCTGAAAATCACATCATATGAATTTATAAAAATTGATAACCATCTGATGAAGAAAAATAAGCATTCTTTGTAAGTGGGCAAACCTGCAAAATCAGCAAGGGGTCAAATACTTATTTCCCCCACTGTATATATAGGTCTAAATAAGTGGTGGTGATAATGTCAATAAATTTATGTTCATACTGTTCAGGCTTGGATCAACAAAGAAAAAAAAATGTAAACAGAGGCAAATTTTCCTCAAAACTGATCTCATGCAGCAAAACTTTGATATTAAATTTTCCCAAAAATTTCAAATGAAACATGAATTTACTTTACTAAAATTATAGTTTGTATAGAACAAAAATAATTAAATGGGCACAGTTGGACCCGATTTGATGCCAACTGCCTGTACTCAAAACTAGACTCAAAGTCCAAACACTTTAAAACCTTGAAATGTTTTGTTTCATAAAATGAGTTCCTGTTCCAGGTATACAAACTGTCTTAACAGTATTGAAATATGGTATAATTTCATGTTTCCAAGGATCAAGAAAGAAAGAAAATGTAAATACAGAGGCTTATTTTCCCCCAAAACTGTGATAACATGCAGCAAAATTTGATATCCAGAAAAATTGAATTTACTTGCAACTAAAATTACAGTTATCAATTAAATGGGCACAGTGGGACCATATTTGGCTTTGGATTATTTGAGAAACAACTAACTATAAATTGGCAGATCTCATTACATTGATGCCAACTGCCTCAAAACTAGACTCAAAGTCCTTCAATATGAAGTCTGTTTGAAACTGGAAAACACCTTTCAACACTGAAATGATTTTGCTTAAAAAATAAGTTCCTGTTCCAAGTATACAAACTGTCTTAACAGTAAAAATAAAAAAATAAAAGTATTGAAATATGGTATAATTTCAAGTTTCCTCAAAGGCAGCCAGCTCCGTTTTCAGGCGTTCTGCCACCATGAAAGTAAATCAGATCCCTAATCCCGTCTACCACCACCTGTCTGAACCCAGTAAATCCAGCAGATGTTTAGGCAAATAGGAGAAATGCCACCACCGACAAAAAACAAAACAAAAAAAAGTTGAATTTCCAAGCTGGATAGAGGCAAAGTGGCTCTCTACAGAATCCAGATGACGCATGCATGTGGAGGTGAGTTAGTTCTTATTTAGTTAGAAACCGTTTCAAATCTTTGCCTGGCTCAATATACAGTCGGGGAAATAAGTATTTGACCCCTTGCTGATTTTGCAGGTTTGCCCACTTACAAAGAATGCTTATTTTTCCTCATCAGACGGTTATCAATTTTTATAAATTCATATGATGTGATTTTCTGGAATTATCTTTGGGATTCTGTCTTTCACTGTTAGAATGTACATATGATTAAAGTTATAGATCGTTACATTCTTTGTAAGTGGGCAAACCTGCAAAATCAGCAAGGGCTCAAATACTTATTTCTCCCACTGTACCGTCATATCTAAATATTTAGAAGAGAAATACAGTGGGGGAAATAAGTATTGGACCCCTTGCTGATTTTTGCCCACTTACAAAGAATGCCTATTTTTCCTCCTCAGATAGTTATCAATTTTTATAAATTCATGTGATTTTCTGGAATTTTCTTTGGGATTCTGTCTTTCACTGTTAGAATGTACATATGATTAAAGTTATAGATCGTTGCATTCTTTGCAAGTGGACAAACCTGCAAAATCGGCAAGGGGTCAAATACTTATTTCCCCCACTGTACCGTCATATCTGAAGATTTATAAGAGAAATACGAGGCAACACGGGTCACTGAGCTGGATGAGAGTGGATGAGAGCCTAGAGTGGAGCAGCCGTAATAAAACTTACATGGGTCCCGTGCAATGAAGTGAGCTCCTAGAGCGGGGTGGATATTTGTGGGGTTCGGTGTGGCCATCAGCTTACTCTTTGCCATCTTCGTGTTGGCTTTAGCAAACTCTAAGCGCAGGGTCTGGGGACTTTCGGGGTCAAAACGGATACCCTGGTGGGAGAGATGTAGGAAGAGGAGGAAGGGGGGGGAGATAATATCGTATAAGGGAAAGGAGCTGAGTTTGAGGTAGCTCAGTATCCTCACAGGGCCCAATTCCCTAAAGCAGTGCTGAAACAGCCAGAAAGACCCTCCAGATATCAGTGGGGACCAGAGATGTTCAGTAACAAAGTAGAACTACTTAAGTACTGTACTTAAGTACCAAAATGCAGTATCTGTACTTTATTGGAGTAGATATTTTTTCCCCTACTCCTATTAGCCTATTAAAAAAAGCCTCCCGAAAGATTGTTAATTATGGCCTTCAAAAATTGTCCATTTAATCTGAAGAAGCATATCAAGGTAAATTAAAAAAATACAATGACATATAAACTAGTAAATAAGCGCTAGTTCAGTTCTCCCTGTTCACTCAGGACGTAGCAACTAACGTTAGCTAAAGCTAACCTAGCTGGTTAGCTGTATGATAACGTTAACTAAAGCTAAGCTAGCTGGCTAGCTGTATGATAACGTTAGCTAAAGCTAAGCTAGCTGGCTAGCTGTATGATAACGTTAACTAAAGCTAACCTAGCTGGCTAGCTGTATAATAACGTTAGCTAAAGCTAACCTAGCTGGATAGCTGTATGATAACGTTAGCTAAAGCTAACCTAGCTGGCTAGCTGTATGCTACATGTTAACATAAAGGCTCAGCTCAGGATTCTGACTGGAATAATAAATAGTAGATGAAGACCTGTTGATTGCTAATGCAGATGTAGTTTTCTGTTTTTGTAAACACCTGTATGGCCTTTCACACGTTTGAAATAATATAAACAATATCTATCAAACTTTTGACTGCCTTTTTTTAATATACACAGTACTTGTACTTTTACTTTCGATACTTGAGGAGCAATTTTTGAAATACTTCTACTTGCAATACTTAAGTACCAAAAAAATTGAGTACTTCCGTACTTCCACTTAAGTATGGTGTTGAAAGAATACTTCTACCTTTACTCAAGTAAATTTTTTTTTTACATAGTACTTGTACTTCTACTCCAGTACTTTAAACATCTCTGGTTAGGGAGGCACAACAGCCTTATCTTAAATAGACATCTGAAGGACCCGTTTCTGGACCGGTTCGGCATGCTTGCATCTCTTTTTCCTCGTGGCAGAACCAGATAATCGGAGAACCAGAGATCCGGTTCAGCCTCTGGAGGAAAGCGAGACCAGGAAAAAGGGCCGGTGGAGAGGCGTTGAGTGCCGTTTTCTTTAAGGTGGTTTAATCCCTGCTTGTGTTGTTGTGCCCTAAGCGGTGTGCCCACATGCAGGTGAGTAGTATTTTCGGTGTGTGTTTGTGTTTGTGTGTGGCTGCTGGTGTGTCTAAGAGGTGATGCTCATAAGGAAGGCTAAGCTATGAGAGATAGAAGTGTTAGATACTGCCAATGTGGGCTACTGGGTGACAAAATAAGAGGTTACACTACTGAAGATGTGTCCAGATAACACTACAAATGTGGCTATAGAACAAAGTATTACAGTAAAGCAGTGATATGCAAAATGAAGAAAGCTATATCAGACTAAGAAGGATGTGTATCAAGGTCAAAGTAAACTACCGTAAGGCTACAGGATTCTGGCCTCTTTCCAAAAATGGCCCTGCCATTGAATTGTAAGAGACAAAATGGGTTGACCGAGAATTATAATGGGAAATACTTACAAAAAAAGAAAAGAAAGAAAAAAAAAGTCCCCATCATTTTTTTAGGGGTTTAAACAAAATGTTAGAACAAATCTAACAACCATTAAAAAGGTCTGACAAAAACAAGAAAAAAAAGAAAAGGGTGAAATTACAAAAGATGACAGAGGCATTGAATTAAAATCAACTTGATGCTTACATTAAGTGCATTTTTTGCAGCTTCAGCTCCAGAACGACTGTCAAAAGTTACAAACCCGACAGGCTGGAAAACAAAAGGGAAGGAAATGCATTTTAAAGACACATGTCCCATCTAGAGACAGACACTAACTCATTAAATCCAAGTCTATGAAATGGGGGTATCCAGAAACAAAAATAGACATTGTCTGGAAACGTAACATAGCTTTAAAGCACTGATGGAAGTCACCTCACCTGTTTTGATGTTAACTTAATCAGTGAACCTTCATAACCCTGCAGGGAAGAAAGATAGCCAATTATCCACCCGGAGTCACATGCAGGAAGTCAAGCATGAACGCCTTACCGTGCGGAGGAACCTGCCCAATGCAGCTCCACTTAGAAAGACCAGGTTATTATTCATAAACAGAGTTATTCTACAGTAAAGGCACCTCTCACTGGTTTAAATGCTGGTAAGATAGTCGAGTCCATCCACAAAACTAAACTCAAGAATGTTTAATAAGGGCAAACACATTTCAGATATAAGTTTAGTACAAGTCAAATAAAGACAAGCTTTAAACTGTGTTTAATCTAAATTTAAAGCTTGACATAAGGGCAGTTTGAGCATAACTATTCAGAAATGAGGGAATTTTGCCAGATATAAGTTTAGTATAACAGTCAAATAAAGACAAGCTTTAAACTACGTGTAATCTAAATTTAAAGCTTGAAATAAGGGCAGTTTGAGCATAACTATTCAGAAATGAGAGGGAATTTTGCCAGATATAAGTTTTGTATAACAGTCAAATAAAGACAAGCTTTAAACTACATTTAAAGCTTGAAATTAGGGCAGTTTGAGCATAACTATTCAGAAATGAGGGGGAATTTTGCCAGATATAAGTTTAGTATAACAGTCAAATAAAGACGAGCTTAAAACTACGTGTAAACTAAATTTGAAGCTTGAAATAAGGACAGTTTGAGCATAACTATTCAGAAATGAGAAGGAATTTTGCAAGATATAAGTTTAGTATAACAGTCAAATAAAGACAAACTTTAAACTATGTGTAAACTAAATTTAAAGCTTGAAATAAGGGCAATTTGAGCATAACTATGCAGAAATGAGGGGGAATTTTTCCAGACCAGACCTGAAGGATGGGATCTCTTTATCCTGATTAACAGTCATGGAAATTTAAACCGCCTCTAATAAATCCTTAGCAAACCAAAACAGAGTTAGCAAACTAGAGAGAAAAAGAACCTCAATTTTGCAATGTTTTTCTATTGATAAAAAGGACAAAAGATTTTATTAGGATGTGGACGAGTAAAGCTCCAGTGAATGAGTCGACTGTTTGCCTTTTTTAAACAAAAATGTTAGCAATAAAAGGCAGCAACAATTCCCTTTAAATACGTCAGCTGTTGCACAATGTTCAAATGTTAGGAGAAGAAATCATTTTCCTTCCCGGTGGGTTCTCTGGGTCATGGCCAATTGCAAGAGCTACTCATTTACACATTCCACCAGACTATCCATGTGCGAGGGAAAGACTTCCAATTTGGTTAGTTGGGACACGGGAGGGAGGGGGGGGGTGCTTATGGAACGTAACTCTGAGAAATAAAACATCAATGGATGAACAATGATGTGGCCTCATTTCCATACATGCAAACCAGCAGACTTCCCCTAATGGTGGAGCCTAAAATATGTCCAAAACAAAAACAAAAAGAGGGACCTTCTGCCATTAGGTGGCAAAATATTTTTACTGCATCACTTACTGGGAAAAAAAAAAGAAAAAAACAAACTAAATTGAACCAATCGGTACACTTTGACAGCATATTTAAGTGCTTGAATAAAGTTTAAACTAATATGGTGGACATATACATTTAAGGAGCTTTTCCAGCTTTTGGCAGCAGCTAAGGAGTTTCATGAAGGGAAACAAATCAACTTTATTCCTTTAACACACCCTAAAAAGGCCTTTACAAACATAGATCATCCCATTTCCAGGACATCCTCTGAAACACACGCTGCAACTTGCCTTAAAAGGTCTAAAGAGCAGGTAAAGCTCCCGCGGTTTGATATCAACTGGAAGGCCACTGACAAACAGCGTCCGTACCTGGAAAAAGAAAAAAAAATGATTTTAGTTATTTGTTGGCACCTCTGTGTAGACAAAACCAGATCTGTACATACAGGGTTGATAAAAACAAAACAAAAACGTGAAAGACATTTCTGAAAACTTCCATTTAAAACGAGATAAAACAGCAGAGTATTTCTGTTGGATGTATGAGTTCACTTTGTAAAGATTATGACAGGATGGTTACAGGTTCCCAAACATTTAACAAATTAAAAAAAACATTTTCAAAAGTTATTAAATGTTATTTAAGGGGTTGCCAGCTGTCATCCTTGAAGATTAGCCAAATAACTAGAAGTAAATCATTCCCAATTCTGTTCATTTTTTGTTGACTAAACAACCAAAAAGATAAGAAAAGAAAATCTGAATGTCCCTCCTCTTAATTTATTTCCTAATGTTTTGTTAACCTAATAGCCAATAAGAGACCTCCAGCCTGGGTCCAATCATAAGATTGGAATCAGAAGCTAGAAACTCTTTCAGACAGACACCAAATTTAATTGAAAATCCTTTTTTTTTTTCCTCCCGTTGGCTTGGAGCGATCCATCTTCACAGAAACAACAAAACCTGATTAAAAGTTTAGATTACACTGCATCATATTTCTTAAACATGGAGACGACCCTCCTCCATATTCAGAGAAATCCCCACCGAAGATCCACCTATTTTTCTCCCACCCCCCCCACTTCACTAATTTACCCAATGCTTTCAGCATTTTCTGGTCTGTTGCAGATCAACATTTCACATTTCAATTGTTCATTTGTACATTCTGATCTATATTTTTAAAGATTGTTCATTTGTAAATTCGGATCTATATTAATGCACAAGAGGAAACTGAAACCAAAGAGTGTTTGCCACCATCCCATTTCCCCAATTATTAGTTTCCCCAAGTAAGCTAACATCTGATCAGATAAGCTAAAAGCTTCTCCGTTTGTCCCTCAGTTTGTGCATTTGTACATTCATTCATTTGTACATTTGGATCTATATTTTTAAAGATTGTTCATTTGTACATTCGGATCTATATTCTTAAAGATTGTACTTTTCAGTTTTATCATTTCTGTCCTATATTTTTATGTCTACATTTTATTTCTTGCTTCTCATAGAAGTGTTGTGTTGTGCACCAAACACCAAGGCAAATTCCTTGTAAGTCTAAAAAAAAACCTACTTGGCAATAAACCTTATTCTGATTCTGATTCTAGTCCCCGGCTGGTTTTCAGCACAATGGATCTGCGGGAGGAACAGAAATGGACAACAGCGCCCAGCGGGACTCCATTTCCTTCCTCTGACCCGTGGCCTTTCGGCATTTTTCAGGTGCCGCACAGCAGCGTTTCTCAGCCCTTTAGAGTCCAAACACACATCAACTAAAGCTAAAGGAGACACACACATCAACTAAACCTAAAGGAGACACACACACAACTAAAGCTAAAGGAGACACACACATCAACTAAAGCTAAAGGAGA